CAAACAACCCCCCCAACCCCGCCCCGAAGAATACTGGGTACGCTTGCATAGCCTGGTACTCGGTTTTAGCAAGTTCATCGCTAGAATGCTATCTTGCGTTACTACACTGAGCAATGAGACCGTAGGAGCGTTTATCGGTTTTGCTGTAGTGGTCAGATGAAGCCTATCTACTTTCCTGTTCTCCAAACAGGCTCCATTGGTGTCAGATGATTTCCTACCGGAAGAGGATTGGGCCAGAGCTCCTCACATAGTGCCTCCTAAAGCTGGAGCGAGCCCCTCTTGATGGGCGCAAGTCCCCACAGGCCAAAGAAAAGGCCGGGAGAAAGAAAGGGGGAGGGTGGGATTAAATGGATGCATGATCTTGGCATAAGGGAATGCCTTTCCCCTAGAAAGGAGCGCGTAGTCTAGGGCTCTTTGTTAATAAGACTAACCGTTTGCACCCTTTATTTTTACACTGCCAACATAAATAAAAATGACTGTTTCTAAAGTGTGGCCTGGGCTTGATTTTCCTACAGGCCACTTAAATTAGAAAAACACATAGTGTTTGTTTTTCTTTTGATTAAAAGAACTCTTCACCCCTTGTAAGGGCAACTGAGGTTCTGCGGTTTCAATTTTGTAAACTATATATGCAGTAGTATCATTGCATTTGTAATTACAGAAATAATTTTATGCTCTCTTATGACCAGACTTTTAGAGCTCCGAAGTGTTCCTTGGGGGTGGAATTCAACTCATGCTCTTTTCCCCTGTAATTGGGATTAAAATATATTCCTTTATCAATTTCCTTAATGATTTTTTTAATCCTTTTTAAGAAGTCTTGTGTAAGAGACATAATGTGTAGTATTCTTCTTAATGTGTGTATATTAATTATTAGGGTAAGAAGATAGTAACTCTTTTTGGAACATCTAAGTCTCACAACATTTTTTTAAAAAACAAGAAAAGGTCCATGAAGTGTGAAAGTAGAATACATTCTTACTATGTTACCAGATTGGTTATCTGGGGAGATCTCAGCAAAATTTCATGCTTTCATGTTTGGGTTTTTTACCTGATGAGTTTTGAGGCATCATTTCTTAGAGATGGATGTAATGCCAGACAAAAAGCTGTGCTCTTATCATAGCTACACTTACATTGCTACTTTTTGATTTTTTAGCAAATGATGTGACAGACACTCCATCATACTTAATGGTTTGCATATATGGATGTAGGCACTATCTCTAATTAACTAATTTTAATGGTGTTTCTTCTTTTTGAGAGTTTAGCAGATATGTTAAAATGTGTGTTTATTTACAGTACTCTGCTGCTTTTTTTTAAGCCACTTAAATAGGTGGGAGAAGGGAATCAATGACAGATGAAACTAGATAGATCTAAGGTACAAAGTCAGCCCTGTGGTACACACACAGAATACTAAAATGAGTAGAATAAATACCAGTCCTTTGGCCTCACTTAGCTTGTGTTGAAAAATATTTGTAAGCAATGCAGTACAACAGTATATTGAGGAATAAAACATTCATGATTAAAGTTGTGATAATAAGCATTTTTTTAACCTGAATTCATGTATAAAAAGCTTTTTAAAGAAAAAGTAAATCAACTGTTTGTCAGTGTCTCTTTGAAGAAGTGGATTGTGGTTGGAAGCAACAATTAGGAGAAGTTAGTTTAAACATACTCTTTCTTACCCCTTCTCCCACAATCCCTTTTTTACAAGCAAGCCTTCAGATAGAGCTGTAAGGGAAAGAGCATTTTTAATTGTCACTAGATAGTACTGCAATGAGAGAAATTTTCTCACTGCAAAAAATGGTTTTAATAAAAATCTTCAATCTCCTTTCTTAATTTACTGAATTAATAAACCATCTCCTGCACTCCAGATTTTTGTCTCCTCCTGCTGGTTTTCCTTTACATTCTTGAGGCATAATTGTTTCTGCTTGTACTTTCTGACCCATCTATAGGTGTAGCAGGATGTTACAAAGTTGGTATCATTGTTGTAGGCTGTTTGCATTCTCTTGGCAGGCATAGCGGAGAATGCCATCACTGGAGATGCACCATACTGTTGTGTCATCCACACACAAGAACTGCTGCAGTAGATCTTTTTCTCTACTCAGATCTGGATATCCAAAAGGCTTTAGTATGAGTTTTGCTTAATTAATGCTGAAATACTTATTTCCCATTTACCCTCTTCTCGGAGAGGGGAGGGGGGGGTGCTGTCAAGAGGAATGTTTCATACCTGTTAAGATCGCTTATGAAATTAATTTCTGTGTATATCCTGTAACTTTTCTCACTCTAGTCTTCCTATATGAAAATATACTTTATTAAATTGTGTGGTGAGATGTATAAAATTTTCCATTTATTCTATGTCATCTGTCTTCATATTCCCTGATTTTTTTTATTTACTTATTTATTTTTCAGATTTCCAGTCCTTGATTTTAGAAAAGTAGTTCTTCCTCCTGTTAGTTTCTGTGTTTTTGTTCTTGTTCTCAAAGCTTAAACAGATGATGGTACTTTGTATGCTGAAAACCAATATAAATTGCCGTGCTGCCCCATAATGCCCTTACTAAGTCTTGTGTGCTTCCAGATTTTAATTTTATTTTCAGTACTTAGAGTTGTGTACGGATGTTCATCATCCATGTGTACCTAACTTCTAATGCTAAGCTGAAATTTAGAAAGTGTCAGTTTGCTGCTACAGTTTCTCTCTTCTGGAAGCAGTGGAGAGTGCCAGTGGGCCATCTTCAGCTAGCCTCGTTTTCTAAGTGGTATTGGCAGAGGAGTGCAGCTGCTGAAGTTTAGAAACCTCTTCCAGAGTGGTTTGAATGTGGGGTGTTGGCAGGGGGAGACTTGTAATTGACATGTAGCTCATGCTCGCTTGAATACTTGGGGTACAAAGGACAAGAAGTGGTTCTCATAAAGGTAGTTCATGGTCCTGCATATGGGGATGAAGGGGTCCCTGTACTGCAGTATGGACATCCTGTGTTGAGGACAGGACACCTTCCTTTGGGCTTACCTGTATGCTTTCCTTTTGGTAGTGTGAAGATGCCACCTGAACAGAAACAGCTGTCTAATTCCTGCTGGTGAAACCACTACTTAGAAAAGGGGTGTTCTGGTGGGTGCTGCTTGTCAGTCACGTGAGGGTGGCACCTCAGTAGGGGAGTGTCACTGCCTACGTGATCTCCTGCAGGTGCAAATGATAGGACTCTGAAATGAATTTTTTTCACTTTAGTACTTGAATATTCAATACCTGATAATATCCATGATATCCACTTGTCTGCAAATATCTGTAGGTGTTTGTTGTTTTTTTCTGGAAGTAAAAACTAAGAGTATACTCATGTTAAGTTTAGACATTTCTTGCTCACAAGGTGAAATTCTGATGCATCCTCTAGCAGTACTGTTTTCCCCTCATCTCTTAGCGAAAAGAGTAGAGTACAGGGCAGCGGCCATTTATTTGTGATAAATACTGAGTGGTCAAGAGAAATGTGCCTGTAACGTGTTTGCATTACTCTTCATGAAACATTGTGTTCTTAAAGCCATGCCATTTTTAGGCATTTTGTTCTAAAGTAAAATGTTACGTTAAGGAATTTGTTCTTATATACCAAAACTGTCAGAGTTTAGTACTTCTTTTGCCTTGAAACTGGTGCTCTGTGAATGTATGTACATTTTTAACTTGTGGTGCAGACTTTATGGTGCATTTAGGTTATCTGTCTTACACATCTCATTTTGGAAGACATTTGAGTTCTTTTAGTTTTTCTAATTAACTGGGTTTCAAGTTCACAGTCATAATGGATCTAAAGATTGCAAAGATGATGGCAGATACAAAACACTGCCAAACTGAAGAGGGAAGAGCAACAAAACATAGTACATAATTAGAAAGCACTAAGTTGTTCTCTTTTCCAAAGCATCGATTTGTTTTATTTCCTTCAGTAAGGGGTAGAACCTAAATGTAAAGGGTGGAAGTTTAAAATAGAGTGATAAGTTATTTGTTTCACTGAATTAAAAAAAAAAATATATCTGTCCTTCTCCAAGAAGGATGCAGTAAAGTTCCTCTGGGGGTGATTCCTCAAGGAATTCATACTGACAGAGGTGTAAATGCTCCAATTGCTGGGTAATACCTTAGCAAGATAAACTGTTGTAAACAAATAGATTGTAAGAGCTTTATGTAGTAGCATACATTTGTAAAATACTCATGAAAAGTAACTATTAGTTAATGCTTTTCTAATATTGGGGAATTTTCTTTTACAGTGTGTTTCAAAAATCAAAGACTCCATGATTTAGTGCTTTCTACAAAGTTGAATCAGTATTGCAAATATTGCTCTGTCCTGATAGGTTAGGTAACTCAGACTGCTTCCCTTGATAAATCCAGCTGGAGGTGAAGCACAAACAACCCCCCCAAAAAACCCCAACAAAAAAGATTACTTTTATACCTAACTACTTTTTACAGCTAGACAATTTGATTGGCTATGAAAATCAAAACCAGTGAGAGAGAAATGAACAAAATTGTTTTTGGCATTGTTTGTGTGGTTCCTTGTTGAAAGGATCAGGGGTGGTGACTGTATTCTACCCCCTATCTCATGTATTTTTTTGTTTTAAGGAAGCCTAACAATACAGTTGATGCTAATACTCCTATGACAGTGATAAATGTTGAGTACTAATAGACAATGTAACTTCTGGAGGACTGTTCTAACACAAGTACCTCTAAATTTTGCATCCTTGCCAGCTTTAGCAATGCACTTTAATGCTCCAGTTGTGGTAACCAGTATCCTATCTAATATCCATTTATGACTGAACCTTGTAATGTTCAAATTCAGCCATTCGATGTTTTAAGGAAATAATGTGGAATGAATGATTTTTATTTTTTCTCTTCCCTTAGTAGCTGGGCTGGACTTCTTAGTATGGTTGACTTTTATTTACTGTCCCATGAGTAGTTGTTCTCTAGATCATATTTATAAATACTGAGACTTACTTGTTTTCTTACAGGTGCCACAAAATACACTGATAAAGATAATGGAGGGATGCTTGTATGGTCTCCGTATCATAATATTCCAGATGCCAAGCGTAAGTCCTTCCCTGCTTAGGAATTTAGTTGCTTAAGTATAACTAAATAATTGTTTCTGGTGTGCCTATTCATTCTTTATTTCACACACAGTGAAATTGCTGATTAGTAAGTTAAACACAAAGCTTCTCTTTTTATTTAGAGAACTCTGGGGAAAGGAAACATCACCTTCTCATTTTATAGTTAACTCCTTGTTTCAAATCACACTGCCTGTGTTGTATCATCATCAGTGCCTGTAAAACCTTTAGTTATTAATAAAAGACCAAAACTTCTAAACACGAGGAGCTTGCTGCTCTAAATTTCTAGGAGAAAGAATAACAATGGATAAATTCAGAAAAATGTGTTGAGGCCCAGTTCAAGGGGAAATTATTATTGCTGTCTTATCAGGAAAAACTGAGCATCTTCTTCCTTCAAAAGTGACGTGAAATACAGAAGTCATCTGACTAAATGTGATCAGTTGTCTGTTCAATCTAGTTTAAACCTGACTTCTATTCTAGAATTTCCAGTAGGTTATGGGGAGTAAACTTTGAGGATGCAGTCATGAGAACTTGGCCCTCAGGACAGTTTCTACCTGTTACGAGTAGTTAGAGGTTTTTGTTCCTCTACGTTTGAGGGAACATACCTTCTACTATTGCACAACAGTTAGAAATAAAATACTCTACAACTGTCATTATTAAACACTTTCTTCATTCCTTTAAAGTACTATTAACTCGGCTTCAGCAGTTCATGACAAGGACATATTTGAGGATATAATTATTTCTTTTTCTGAATCACGCTTACTTTCAACTACGTTTGGTTGCTACTTAACTGGGACCTGTAGAACATGAATGGGAAGAGTTTTATTTCTTTAAAAGTAGAAAAGTACCCACTGAAGATCAGAACTTGCAGTTCTTAATTGCAAAATGATGGAAAGCATTCAGCTCAAAGCTGGCTGTAGTACGGCCAAATATGATTTCAAAAATATGTTATTGGTGAATTTGACATAATTACTGAATTTTCATATTCTCTATTGAAAACTGACTTCAAGTCATGGTTAAAATTAATGTTGGTCAGTGAAAACTATTAATATCGAGGATATGCGTAATCATTGATCTGGGATCTCATTACATTAATTTTTAACATGTTTGGGAATATGAACAGAAGTAGTTCAATTTAAAATTAACCTAGGTGTCTGGACACCCTCTAGTGTCTTTGTGTTCTTAGGAGTGGGTTCCGAGAAGATGTAGCCTTTCGATAACCAGCTAGTCTCTGATTTAGGTAAATAAATTATAAGCCTCTGTAGCTTTATTGTAGTAAAAATATGGGGGGAAAAAGGCATCTTTTTCACTGAGAATTAGTTTGTTTATAAAATGAAATGTTGGATTAAAGACAGTGGGCTTAATTATTATTAATAAAAGCTATGAATATATTCAATGTTTTGGGGGAACTGGGCCTATGCAGTGTATTAAAGCATGGGAAGACTGTTTTCCCATGTTAGATGGCTAATTCTGTGTCTCCTTATAGCAGAACTAAAAGTACTAAAGAATAATTCTGACATTGCTTTGTTACAGTGGATGAATATATAGCAATAGCAAAGGAAAAACATGGCTACAATGTGGAACAGGTAAGTGCTGTGAAATGAGAGTGCTCATTTAAAGGATTTTTTTATATAAAAGTATAACACAACTCTTTTTTTTTTCCCTTGGTTACCATTAATTAACGCTGTTTCTCTTCAGGCACGGCAGCAAACACTGCAGTTAAATGGATCTGCATACAGTTGTGGTCTGGATTCTCTACAAAAGATTGAGCTCTTTGTTTTCATGACATGCTCAGCTTGTAATGTGCACTTTTGAAAGGTTTGGTATGTTTCTTGATACACTGGGCATGTCATGCAATTGTGTGTGTATATTTAGCTAAAGAATTTCTTAGGAAAGCAGCTTACAAATTTAATGTTTGATATTAGAATTCAAATATGGTACAATTTTGAACCATTAATTGTGATAGGGACAGCACTGGAAAGGTTTCTTGGCAATAAAAAGAGGCTTAGAGTGTTTTTTTCAGAGGCAGGAAAACAGACTCAAACTCTAGGTTTGAGAGTAACAAACAAGTTCACTTTTTAAAATAAACTTTAGTCACTATCCCGTAAAAAGTACAGGATAAAACTGCTGGTCTGCACTTAGTACTATTGTAATTTTCTTCATAAATTAACCAATTTATGTAAAATTAAGATATCTGTTGCAAAAACATATTTAGTGTACAAGTGGAAACAAGTTGTATGATCAAGTTTTGGAGAATGGAAGCTCCTAATAGCAGTTGACTAACAAGTCTTTGCCATCTGAAAAAGAGGCTACCAGTGTTATGATGTCCAGAATACATGCAGTTTGGTGGTGATTGTTTATGGTTTGACTTTTGTTAAGGGAGAGAGGGGGAACTGAGGGATCTCAAAATAAGTTTACAAAAAGACTGTTTTTTAAAACAACTTCTCCTACAAAATATTTGTAGTCTGGTTGCAGTGGAATAGAAGTTATCTTTGCAAGAGGTGCTTGTCACTTGCCATTTTTACAAGAAAAGAGGTTTGCTATGTCCAGGTTATTAGAAGATGTGAAATCAGGTTTGGAGAGCTGATGAACAACTTGTGATCATGCCTGCCTTGTATGGTTGAAACTGAGCGGGTTACATTTCCCAATTCCCATGCCAGAATTGGCATCAAATCTGCCATTGATTCTCTGGTAGAAAGTCTAATCAGCATAAAATTCTTTAAGAATATAGAGAAATGAAATAATGTAAGAAAGTATATTTAAATTTCCATTCCTTATTAGGTGCACATGACATTGAAGTGGCCATGCTGTTATTTGTGGATTGGAGTGTTGTAGAAAGACCACTCTCACTTTGAACTTTCAGACTTGCATTCTGGGTGACCCTCTGGCTGCTGAAAAATATTTTTTTCTTTTTTGAGTCAGCTGGTAATAAAGGCCTGAAGACCTATAAAGAACTGTGTAGGTGATACATGCTTGTAAAGGAAGAAAGCAGGTCAGATTTGAGCCTATCAGCTTAGTCCATGCTACTTCAGAATTACTGCTGCCATGCCAACCTTAAATTGTTTAGCTTTCATACCTTTAATAAAGTACAGATGTACCCACGCTTCATACAGTCTCCAAAGAGAGTTTTGTAACTAGTTCATAGGCAATAAAATTGTAAATACATTTTGAGAAGGGGTTCTGATAGTCAAATTTTAAGTAAATAAATTGCCTTTTTTTAATTTAACTTGTATCAAATTTTAGAAAGTTGACTAAATCCAAAAAGGGACTGTTTCTTTTCAAAGGCTCTCGGCATGTTGTTCTGGCATAAACACAATATTGAGAAGTCCCTTGCGGATCTCCCTAACTTCACTCCTTTCCCTGATGAATGGACAGTTGAAGATAAAGTCCTATTTGAACAAGCATTTAGCTTTCATGGAAAGAGCTTTCACAGGATCCAGCAAATGGTAAAGTAATATTTTAATCAGAAGCATTAAACAGTTCAGATGCACTAAGAACAAAGGCTCCTATTTGGCTAAAATTTCACCTTGATTTCTGTGTAAAAGCTTCAGGAATGACCTCGATTATAAGATTTAAGTTAATTTCATTATGTCTCTTGGACCTATAGCTTTTTACTCTAAGAAAAAAAGTTCCCCCTCCCCCTTTAAATAATGTATACAGAATACATCCCTCCTTTCCATCTCATCCATATGCTTAAAATAATTGGGTGAAGGTGGTTGTAAATAGAGCAGAATTATGATCTTGGGTGGAATTTTAATTTTAAGAGGTATCAATATGTTAATGAATTCTTCTAGCTTCCAGACAAGACTATTGCAAGCCTTGTAAAATATTACTATTCTTGGAAAAAAACTCGCTCTAGGACAAGTTTGATGGATCGTCAGGCTCGAAAACTAGCTAATAGAAATAATCAAGGTGACAGGTAAGTTTTATATTCTTAAGTAACTAACCAGAGACTGAAGTCTTTCTAGGTAGAGATGTCAGAATAATTTCCAGCCATTACATTTCAGCATGAACCATGCTTTTAGGTTTGAGCATCTGTGGTGATGTGTCTGCTTTTAGTAAGGGATTTGGTACCTGTGCTTTAAGAACTATATCACTCCAGTTGGTGTGAGTTGTAATAACACACTTGAGTGCTTTAATGGATAACTGTAAAAACAAGGGTTTAAAAAAACCCTGAAGCCTGGGAATGTGGTTTAGAAATAATGCTTTATTTGAGAAGTCTAACCCTATATTATTGTGTGGGCAGGAGAGTGTTTTTGTGGATGTGGGGGTTTTCTGGGTGCTTTTGAACTAGAATGGAATTAAAACTAAAAGATCAACCACTGTAAAGAGCTGTAGCAATTAGAATGCCCAAGTACTGGTTTAAAACAAAACTCTTTATGAAATCTAATTTCAGGAGACTTAGGACTGCTATCAGTCAAAGAGAATTAGAGGTCAAAATAGTTTTAAATTGTCTTGGATAGAAGGGAATGATGTTTCCCCTAGTTACTATAAAATTAATATTATGTTGCACTTAGTATACTGGAGTATTAACTTGCACTTTTTAAAAAGTGATTTATTATGTTGAATGTGTAAGTAGCAATCTTGTCTATATTTGAAAGTATGATTTTTTACATCTATGGAAAAATTGCCTAGCTAGATCAAAGGAGTCTGTTTACTTACATGTTATTGAAAAGAACTCCTGAAATCTAAAATTCATATGCTTACTTAGTGACCCTGTAGCTGAAAAAATACAGAAGAAAATCAATTTGCTTCTAATACAGCATTTTGGGTTGTTTTTTTTGTAAAAACTGAATTTTTTTGTGGTGTTTTACGTCCATTCAGAAATTATATTGTGTGAATGACTGGATTGGGCTCAACTAAACTAACTGTTATCTTTTAAAATCTTTTCTCCTTGATTTGATTCAGCAGATTTCATTCCCCTCCCCAAAATTACTAGACCTTGAGTGCTTTGATGAAAAAGCAGTCCTATGTTTTCCCATCTTACATTGTCCCCTTTAGCTCCTCAGAAACTTCAACAAAGGTTTATTCATCCATCTGGTGCAGTGGTTTGAAAACTGAGCTATTAAAACTAATGCGGCAAATAAAAGGTTGTTTCTAGCCTTGGTATATAGTTGACCATGTAAGTGTTCATGCTGGCACAAGTGGTTGAATTGAAGAAAGGTGACACCACATATTTTGGCAGCAGTACCATCACTGCTTAAATAAATTTTAAAACTACAGTTTAGGATTTCTTGTTTATCATAATAATTATTAGAATTTAATAAAGGAAATATGTTTGTAACAGCTCTCCTTTAAAAACTGCAAGTTACTTTGAGATGCCATATACTTAGAGTAGATAATTCTCTTACCCTGATACATATTTATATTTGGAGTTAACAAAATAGATAAAATGACCACCTTCTTATAATCTGTCCTCAGTGATGATGATGTAGAAGAAGCTCATCCAATGGATGGAAATGATAGTGATTATGATCCCAAAAAAGAAGCCAAAAAGGAGGTAACAGATAGCTTAACGGTGAATGTCAGTTTGTTTTCTGTCAGTGTGTTGCTGTGAAGAATATGACTTGTAGGAAAGAGATTTAGTTTGCAGCCTGTTGAAATCACAGGGGTTTTAGGTGATCAAGATCTTGACAACTTCTGACTGAAACAAAATTTTATCGTATATTTTTGCAATTCTGTGAACATAAATCCATCTCTCATTATCTTCACTATTTTCTGAGAGATCTTCAAGTTTTATAAGAGATGTATGCTATTGCTACCTGGTAAAATATTCCCCCTGCCTCTGTCTCATTAATATGTTTACAGTTTTACTGGTTGTGCTTTATTGGAATGTAAATGTTTTCTTTGCATTTTAAAATTAAATGACATTTTTCCATTAATAACTCTTTTTGTTCTTTCAAAGCCACACTGAGGTTATGCATTTCAACTAAGATGTGGCTTTACTGAGATGATTTCCACTAATAAATATAGAGAAGAACATTTTTATCTTCTCTAATGAGCACTTAGAGCTGGCTTTACAGATAAGTGATGTGTTTGGAGTATGTTCAGGTTTTGGGGGGTTTTGGGTTCTTTTAGTAAATATTAAGTTATTTATGAACAAGACTAGAAAAACACTAAGTGTGTTTCCTTGATCAACTTAATGCATTTGTGATTTTCCTAAAATGGGACAGTTTGTGCTTCTTGAGAATAAGAGGAGAGAGAGTGCAAACCCTCAACATTCCAGTGATGTGCTATCTAGGATTATTAATAAGCTCTGCAGTTCTACCAAAAATGATGTTGAGTAAGAGGCTGATGGGCTTAGATTCCATTCTTAGCTTTGCAGTGACCTTCAATGTATCACTTTAACTGCCACAGGGGAAAAATAAAAAGGACAATTACAATTGCCCCTTTCTGTAGAAGAGTTTGAGATTTTAATTTTCTTTTTTTAACATGCCAGGGTATGTTTTTTTTAGAACTTGCAATGGCAGAAGGTCTAATAATGAACCTTTTTACTTTTCATTCTGCTGTTGTAACATTGTTCTTGCAATCTGTTGATTTGAGTTGCTACCTAAGCCACTTCTAAATAGGGGCTGTTTCTTTCAATTTACTTTCCTTGGTTACTGTTTGAATTGCTACACGCAGTCCAGAATGAAAGCAGTGTGTTCATAAACTTCTAGGAACAGGACAAATAGGTTTGCAGTTTCTGATGAACTATTTGGATCTACATAAGATAATTTTGTGATCCGATATGTCTGGTGGGATTTGCGTACTTTCACATCCTAAACTGAGTAGGCTACTTGAATGCACAGAGCAGTGAAAGCTTTCTGTTATCAGAGAAAACTAAAACAAGTCAAACACTCTAGCTTGGCAGGACAAAAGCTTGAGTGAACATTTTTGCTTTAAATCCAGATTGAATAGACAGGAACTGCAATTTCATACTGAAAGAGCAATGCAGAACCAAAGAACCGAATGGTATAAATTGGCCAGAAGTAAACTTAACCTTGAGATTTTTAGATGTCAAAGATGTAAGGCTCTATATCAACTTTCCAAGGAAGAGCAAATATCGTAAGTGCTTTTAAGATGGCCTCTATGAAGTCTGCTGACTGGATTTAGATGTTACGTTATGTTGGAAGAGAATGTGGCAGAAGGTCAAGCATAGTAGAGGAAAATACTGTTTGTTGATCTGTACTAATGCTACAGAACATAATAATAATGGCTACTGCAATTTGTTTTATCTTCACTGTGATCAGATGACCACCTCCTCATAACCTATGTGGATGCTAGCAGGGAGGAGCAGTAGGTAGCTGCTTGAAATAGCAAAAAGCCTGAATCCCATCTCTGTTCTGGTACTAAGCATTGCTTCGAATTGGAAAATCACTGCAGGGAAAGTCACTTTTGCTTCTCTGCTCCTGGTCTGTAGGGAACCTATGTGGTTGCTCTATGGGAGTCACATACATGCAGACTAGCTGTTGTGCAGCAATGCCCCTTGAAGACAAAGCTGGAATTTTTAGGTGTCCAGATCTATCAAAACAGCAGTTACAAAGAATTCCATCTCCTCTTTACTATCCCTTTCCACTTCAAAAAAGCAAACAGCAAAGGCTTGTTTGCTAAATTACATGGATTTTTATGACTGCAAAAATACATCCATCTTTTCTCGTCCAACTTTCGAATCCTCTCCCAAAGCAAACAGCACTATCACTGTCCCTAGAGTGCCCGCAGCAGGAGAAACTGTCATCTTGCATTCTCGCCCATTCTGGTTGACTTTTAATTCTTTTCCCCTGATCTTCACCTGAATTCTTCGTATCTGATCAGAAATAAACGTGTAAATTCACTGATTACTTAGTTTAGACATGTAATAAATATATTCTTTACCTTCTGCATATATAAAAGGTTCTTGATTTTTTCCCCCCCTCTTTTACAGTATTCATACTGATTTCTATACCATTTATTGTATTTTCAACCATGTTTAAAGAAAAAAAAGTTTTGAAAAGTGACCTTTCTAAGACTAATGTAGGGTTATCCCACAAATGACTGGTGTGCTCCATCAGCTCATCTGCAAGATGTAGTTTGGATACTACATGCAGAGGAGGATATTAGCTTAGGTTTTCTTTGTCATAAATATGACATTACAATGCTATGTGATACATTATTCTTTAAGTTGTATAGAAGATACTGTTATTTTTTAATGATTTATTTCTTGTAAATTAAAGGGCAATAATGAGCAGCCTGTTCAGACCAGCAAAATAGGTCTGGGTAGAAGAGAGTATCAGAGCTTGCAGCATCGCCACCATTCTCAGCGTTCCAAATGCCGTCCACCAAAAGGCATGTACCTGACCCAGGAAGATGTGATAGCTGTTTCCTGTAGTCCCAATGCAGCCAACACAATTCTTAGACAGCTGGATATGGAACTAATCTCATTAAAGCGACAGGTACCATGGGTTATTGGTCTTGTTTTGTTTTCATCTCAGATTGTTCTGATTGTAATGATTTTGAAGATTATCTGTGAAGATTCTGAAACTTCTTTAATGTGAGTCTTCCTAATTTTGTTCCACAGTTATCAGAAATGCTGGACACTAGCTGACTAGCTATTCACTGGTTTTTGGTTTTATGTTCATCTGCTCTTGTGGATAATATGAAACAAGATGACTTCCTTTAAAAATAAAGAAGGGGGGGAAGTATAGCATGAAAACAATGTTAAGGGTTTGGGGACAGGAGAAAACTGAAGTTACTTTTAATTTGATTTTTTTTTAAAAAACTTCGTTAAAAGTATTTGTGTGACAATTAAGAATAAGACCAGTGAAGCAGAGGATTTAAGCATTTGTTATGCTTAAAACTATACCTGTTTTTCTGGATGTCCTTCCCCACATACCATGAAAGGGAGGGGGTGGAAATCATGGGCTTAGTTATTTCTCTGTTTGCATTGATGAGCTTTCTATCTCTTATTAAATTTAGAAAAGCTTTGTAGTCTTCACCTTTAAGAGGACAATTACTTGCGTCCTTTGCATGAAGAAGTGAACTTTTAGCACTTAAAGTTGAAACACAGAATTTATCCAGCTTCTAAGAGTACAGCAGTATGTGCATGCTTGCTTTTTAGGAGCGATGGGGCTACAAAGTCAAGGCTTATCTCCTGGAATTTCTGTTTCCTTATAGACCACTAAGAGCTGCCATGTTGCAAAATCATGGAGTGAATAAAGGGTTTCATGGGGTTTTTGCTCCCTTATATTCTTTTGCAGGAGAAATATGCTTCTTTCTGTCACAGCAGGACTCTGGGGCTAAATAGCATAGGTGGGTTTCACTCTTTAGCCTAAGTGTAGGTGAGTTACAGCCTTGAGGTTGTGTTTCTCTTTTTTTCTTGCAGTGATCTTGGAGATGCAGCCTTTGGAATCTCCCACTGAGTTGTCTGCTTTTGTGTCCATACTTAAGAACACTTGTAATAGCTGTGCACCATAGTATGCAAAACTATTTTCTTATCTATGTTACATTCTGTGCATCGTTGTCAGGTTTAAATGGTTAATAGATCCATATATGTATGATTTGGAAGCGCTCTCCTTTTTATAGACTAAGATATTTTAAATCATTTCAAGAATCACCCTTAAAGGAAATCATGATGATCTGAGGTCAATAAAAAGCAGTCTGTCAGAAGGAACTAACTGGAAACATCTCACTTTTATTTTTTCCAAAGTGCTTTTTGGAGAAGGAAGAAGTTAATGTATACAATACATCTCACTTAGATTTCTAAGAATCACGTTTTGTGTCTAGAATATTCTGCATTATTCTTCAAGAACATATGCATCATTATAAAAACTTGCTGGTTATGTCCTACTATTAATATTCCTGCAGACAAACTGTTCTTTTAAAAGACTGGTTTAAATATTTTTTTCTCTCCATAGTAAACTGTGCTGTATTTTTAAATTTTTTTTTTAAACAGTTAAAAGTAGTGAAGCCTTAAACCGTAATATTTCTCTTTCTAACTTAGGAGGTACACTTGTGGCAATCCTAGTGAAGATATATGTGTAAAGTGACCAACTTTCTTTGTGGAGCTGATTAACTTTGTTGTTTTTGACCAAGGTTCAAAATGCTAAGCAAGTAAACAGTGCACTTAAACAGAAAATGGAAGGCGGGATTGAAGAATTCAAACCTCCTGAGGTAAATCAGAATAAATACTAGAACTTGTGGCCTTGCACTTAAATTAGTGGGAAGCTACAGAAATGTGTTTTGCTGCAGCATAGTGTTTGCATTTCAGCAGCAGCTTAAACAGGATCCATTGAAATACATGCAGGGGTGAGTGTGACTTCTTTACAAGAAATTAGTGGTAGGCTTTTTTATGACAACTGGCTGAACAAAGAAGCAGGCAAAAAATAAAATGGTCATGTCTGGTTATGACAATAGGAAGCTGAAACTTAATCCTTATATATGGTTAGGGGTTTTGCTGATTAAAAGTAGGTAATGTAGATTGCTAGCAGTAAATTCTGTGTTCTCTGTGAAAACAGGACTATATATACATTTGGGCATCTGAAGTGACTGATTTATTACTATTGTAGTTCTCCTTTTCCTTGTTTTAAAGGCTTGGGTGTGAAACATAACATGAATGCAAAACGCTCCAGAGACTAAGTCCTAATAGTTTAGATAAATGTAACTATAAGTTCAGATTCTGTCTGCATAAAGATCATTAGCTTATGCGTAAGTTATGATATAGCTCATATTAAGAACTGCAGTAAAACGGTGAAAATAGAAAAACTATTGGTTTAGTTCTAAGCTCAAATCTTTAAATGCTGCTTCCTCTTCATGAAAGCAATCTTAAACTATAAATTTATGGCTTATAAACAAGAAATTTTACCTATGTTACAAAATGTAGTGCAAGTAAAACACATTCTGATGCTCAGATGTTTTGTAGCTCTTGAAACACTTTAATGATCTTTGTGCCATTTTTCTAATTTTAATAGTCTAATCAGAAAATCAATGCCCGTTGGACCACGGAAGAGCAGCTTCTTGCAGTACAAGGTATGTTAATAGTAGTAGTGACTTGAAATCTGATGCAAAGGATTTGCAGAGGTATTTAGGTACTTATGTTTGTATTTCCCTCTAATGAAAAACTAAACTTTATCTGGTCTCACAAGAAAGGCACCGGGAAAACAGCAAAACTCATGAGAATATTTAGAGCATTCATTCAAGCAACATGACACTAGTCTTTCAATTACTCATATTAAGTTTCAAATAGAAAAACTAAGCTGGGTTTAATAACTGTAGTAGTACCAAAAAGTCCCTTCAATCATCTTCTAAATCACCTTACATGAATTTCTCTGAAGTGGAAGACTGAAGTAATAGTTGACGTAATAAAATTTGAAGCAAACACCTAAGATACCTCTTCTTATTCTTAAAGTAGGAAAAAGCAGAAATAAGACTGCTTTACAGTTACTTTTCTCTGTTTGTGAGGGAATAGAAGAGAAGATATATATACACTCAGTAGAGGCCTTTTAAGAGTCTGAAGCTCTTGACTCAGTGTCTTAACTTGACTTGTACTTGACTGTCTTAACAAAGAAAAAACATTTTCTAGTAGGCTATTGATACAGCTAATTTGAAGTTATTTCATTTATATGAAGGAAAACTGTGTCTTGTTTTGCTTTAACATGCGCTACCTAATCAAGGAACATGCAAGTGAAGTACCTGGAGAGCCTAATGCTGTCTTGAAGACACTATATATTGACTCGCTTCTGTGCATCACCTTTTTTAAGATAATATAATCAGCTCGGTTGTACACATCTGCTTTATTTCCCTCTATTTTTCACCTTTAAAATGAAAGACTGAATTTTAGTATAAAACCTTCAGTTGGATCAGGATATCAGTATAAAATTGTCAGGTGTGCCATATCTGGTAGTTACTAGCCTGATGACTGAACCAAAAGTTAGGTTTACTTAGAAGTGTGAATGGAAATGCTGAAGAGCGTGGTGTGTCTGAAGTCATGCCTGTCAGCTTACATGCCTCAGACTGGGATTTGCATCTCCAAAGCATTTTCTAAGTTCATCCTCTCAGTATTGCTAACAAGCTCGCTTTTTAAATTTTGTTCCCAAATGCAACTGAAGGAAGATGCCTGTTTTTAATATGATAGTCTAGTAAGTAGAATGCTTGCTGGATAAGTGGGGAAAATCCAGGTTCGCTGTGTCTGCCTTAGCATTAAAGTATTCAAACCATCTTGCCTTTTCATAGTTTAGTTATCATAGCTCTCAGTAAACATCAGTTTGGGAAGTGATAAGAATGCATTCAGCTTTTGTTAAGCTATGGCACTATGTGACTGACAAGGTAAATAATAAAACTTGAGTGTGGGCAAGGAAGAATGAGGGTTAGTTATGACCTCTTCTGGAGAGAAGTTCTAGTCTTATGGTCTCTTCTCTAGGGAATGTTTTTTGTTTTATAAAGGTAGTCAGCCTTAATACTTAAGGGTGGGGTGAGAAATCAGGCCTTCTGGAAGAAGCTCGTTTTTCTTGAATTTACAAGTGCTTCTTATATGTATTGTTTCCTTTTTAGTCCCCTTCTTTTGCCACTGTATAACATGGAGAACTTCAATGCCAGGAACAAAGTATTCTTACTATCCCTCCCTTACCTACTGCCTGGTATTAGAGTCTCCCTCCTGGAATGAGTGTGCTGTAGGTATTAACCACCCATCCCTCAGGCTAAGGACCCTGATCTCTTGCTTCAGAACAGTTGCTTGAGCTAGTAGACATATGTGTGAAGGAGCCATGCTGGTTTTTTCCCTGGCTCTGTTTTTAGAAGAAGGTAGCCCTGGTTGCTGTACTAAAAGCTACCGTAATGCATGTTAGGCTTGAACTCAGAAGTTGACTTGAGCATGGTGACATTTGGTTTGTACATTTAAAATAGATTTATTTCATCAAATGTACTGATATATTTTAGCATGTGCTTTTAGTAATTTTACAGAAATCATAAGCATTAAGCAGGTAGGTGACACTTCTATGATTTGTTCACTTGAATTCAAACATTAAATCCAGCCGTGGAAATCATAAAAATAATCTGCAGGAATATAATTTTGGTACTGTTTTTCCTAAACATGAAAAAAAATTCTGTTATCTGTGGGCTAATCTCACAAGATTGGCAGTAGTTGAAGAGGAGGTAATGGAAAAAAAAACACCTTAAAATAGAACTGTGTGTGTAATTTTAAAGCAGCATGGCTCCCTGCAGTGAACTTGTGGACTCGGATTTATGATCTCTGAGATGATCTTTTGCAGTATAATTTATCAGGTTACTGTTCATTTTTGAATAGTTACTGAATGTAATGGAACAGTTCATCACTTCAGGTGTTCTTAAGTTACAAACTTTATTTATGTATAGAGATGTATAAACATGATCATCTTTTCAAACTAACATCTCAGCCATATGAAAATTGCAGTTGCAAAAATGTTCTAAGACTTGTTCAAAACAACAAAACTTTCATTGAAAAGCAGTGCATGAGTTTCATAGCATTGCAGTGGAAAACAGTTGGGACAACCAGGATCTAACTCTGTGTAAGGTAGTTGCCAGGAGCACTGTAATCCCATCACTGTGAAACTGCAGCTCTCATAACCCAGAGGTTACTGTTAACTATTTCCACCTCATTGTGGTACTGTATTATATTGCTTTGGACCCAGGCTAATGTTTTGTGTGCCTCTCAGTGTTTGCTGTGCTGCACAACATAAAGCAGCATAGACAGCATCAAACTTGGATTTATGAGTTTCTCCAAGTTAGACATTTAAGATTAAACATTGTAATAGTAAGCATGCACGTATTCAAGTGCACCTTTGCAAGTGGGCAGAGGTTTGAAGAGCTTGAAGGATTCCCATGATCAGGGCTACTTTCAGATGAGCCAGGAGAAAAACATTCATATATGTGAAGTGAGGCTATGCAGTCATCTTTTTTTTGAACTTCACTTTCAGCAGCCTAATAAAATTATTCTTACTGAATAACACTTCAAACACTTCAGAAATAATTTGGACAGTGTTTAGGACAAAATTTGTATAAGGATGTGTAAGTAATGTGCACATGATTTGAAAGGGATGGTGGCTTGGCATCAACTCTTAGAGGTATGCAGCACCTTATGCATAAAACTTTCATAAACATGTATTGAACTTCCTCTGTTTCTGATGCAGCTTAAAAGGTTTTTACTATGTCATTGTATACAAGTCATTGTGGTGATGATAGAGCAGTACTAAATGATGCTCTAAAAATAATCAAAAATGAGTAGTGCTGTGTGTATCTAAACTAAGGAAATTTTATGTTCTTTAGATATTTCTTACAGTTGGGCTCTTAGCGAAGGCAAGATAGACTGTTTTCAAGCTGTTTGCTTGGAATTAGGCTTTGCAACCTTATTGTTGACAACTTCAGCTGAAGTTAGTCAACAGGCTCCATCGTTTTGCAGATTAAGGAGAAGGAAGCAGTATAGACAGCATAGTAACAGAAAAGGCTGAAATCACTAGAAGTCTGAATTAGGTTTCAAACAAAAATGTGCTTTGTTCTGCTGGGCACTTTGTTCACTTAATTGTACAGGATGTTAGATATGTTGCAGCGGCTGTTTAATGATCATTATAAGTTAGGGTGGTAATGGTAGGGCAATCAAAGTATATGAAAACACTGGAGGGAGCACTCAGCGGGCACACACAGCTTTTAAGGAGTATATTTCATACCTTTTGTACAACTGAAAGCACAGAGCCAAATCCCTGTCTTTGCTTTGCCTAGATACATACCCTCCCACACAGCTCTGGTGGGTCCCTTTTGTTTTGTTTTGGTTTTTTTTTCATAAGGTTCTTGCAGTCAGGATGGTTGCATTCTTTCATAAGTCCCAGAAAAAATCTTAAATAATGTAGCTGGGGTTTTGACAGCTGAAACATCAGCTTCAGCTACAGAAATTGTGACTGTCCTGGAGCTGAACTTTCCTCTTAAATTGCAGTGAGTGTACATTAGCACATCAGAAGTGCCTGTTAATGAAGGAAGTAGAAAGAAGTAGAACAAGCTGATGGTCATACTCTTCACAATTAAGTTGAAAAGGAACATAGATTTCAGATTTGAAGCAACTCTCACTTTCTGAATTCTTTGCTTCACTTTCTGAAGTGAGGCATGAAATCGGGCATAAATTTCTTATCCTATAATGAGAGAGTGCCTGTCCTCTAAGCACTGTAATATGTTCTGAATGAGTTTAGTTATCAGGAGCTTCACAGAAGAAGTCAAATTGTAATTCACTCATGCATAGCCAAGAGCAAAAAATTAGTCTTCTGTTTACTCAGTCTGGAATAAAACTCTGTTTTATTTCTTTTAGTCTCCAAACTTTTGGACAGTTGTGATTAAAAAATATACTTTGTGCAGCCAAAAACTGTGTTCTAGGATGCTGGAGAGTTAGAGGATTTTTTTCTTAAGCAGGAGAGAGGAGGAACTAGACCCATACCCTAAATACAACTGGGACAAAATCAATAAGCTTTAGGTTATAATTCCAATTTTAGGTTAAAAACTATGGATTGTTGTACTCAGGGGTGGGTTTTTTGTGTCTTATATGCTGTTATATGCAAATGTGGTTTTAGAACTTTAAAAAGTACATGTTGGGATTTTCTTGTGAAGTGCTTGTAAACAAAGTGTCCTTCTGATGTCAATATGAAAATGAATGAAAAGAACGATATAGACATCTTCTTCTGTCATGCTGCTGCTTGCTGGAGGATTTGGTGCTAGAGGCTTCTGCTGGGTTGTCTTATAACAGACACCAATAGCTTATATTTACTTACATTCCCAAGGTGGTTGTCTCAAACCCACAGATTTTTCTACCCAGCTCACATAGTAAATGAAAGCTCTAAAAAGACTTTGTCAGGTGAATGCTTGCCAGTTGCTCTTCGTAGCCTTGCTAGAGCATGTCACAAGTGCGGGAATAAGCAGTATATTGTGACTTATGGAACTGTGCCCCTCTGTTCTGCCCTGTGCTTGGTCCAGTTGTTACTGCCCTCTGCCACTCCTGCTGCCCAGGTCATGGGCAAAGAAACATCTGCGTGCTGCTGGCACAGAGGGAACCTGTAGATGCTGTCAATGTTTGTCACTTGCTGTTTCTAGTGTTATACTCTGTTTGCAGCTACACACACATGTTCAGTCACCTTCCCTCTCCTGTCTTGAACTTGTCTTGGGCTTCTGCCCTTACTGCAAGCACATTGAAGGATCTACTTTTATTTGTCAGAGGCCAGATCTCTGGTTTTAGGTTGGGAGGCTTGGTGAGTAAGCCAGGATCTTTTAAGAAGAGTGGGTAATGACCTGTTAATAAAGTTCTTGATTTGTATGTTGATAGCTGTGCAATTAAAAAATATTTTGTTTTAATGGAAATTGAGGCCTTCTCCTAATTGAGAAGTCCTGCTAATTAGCGAGTCCTTGGTTTTCAGGTCCCATAGGTTCTCTCTATAAATACATCACACGTAGCTGTGTCTGACTGATTCTTCACAGCTATGTTATTTACTTTGCCTTCCAGGTGTCCGAAAATATGGTAAAGATTTTCAAGCTATTGCAGATGTAATTGGCAACAAGACTGTTGGCCAAGTGAAGAACTTCTTTGTAAACTACAGGCGTCGGTTTAACTTAGAGGAGGTATTGCAGGAATGGGAAGCGGAACAAGGAACCCTGGCTTCTAATGGTGATGCTTCTGCTTTAGGGGAGGACACAAAAAATACTTCTAATGTGCCATCAGGAAAGAGCACTGATGAAGAAGATGAGGTGTGTTTTGTGTACCAGAAATAAGTAAGCATGGGTTGAGGAACAGCATTTTATTTAGTGATAAAATGTAAGGTTAACTGGTGTGGAGTGGCAAACCGCATTCTAAAGAATGATGATGAGCTTGCATAGAACTTCAGCCAATGTCGTTAACCAGCTGGGAGCAGGACTGCACCTTTCATAGTGACGATCACGTTACTGTTTTATTGTTAAGATACAGTTCTTGTTCTAGAAGAAGACTCTTGCTTCGTAAATATTTTTAGTTCTGCTATAATATTTTGGTTGGTGATTTCTTTTCAGTAACTTCTCAGTTTTTTGGTTTTGTTTTTTAAATGCTGTTTCCTGTGTAGTGGACAGTGGCAGCCCATCTGCATCGCATTCTGGCTGGGATGGCTGTTCACGCAGTCTTGTCTTTGTCCTTTGTGCAGGCACAAAGCACTCCGGCCACTCAGTGTTTAGGCCCTTCACCTCCAGCACAGGCATCTGCTCCAGCACCTACCGCTCCCATGGCAACTTTAAATCAGCCGCCCCCGTTACTTCGTCCAGCGCTTCCTGCTGCTCCTGCTCTCCATCGTCAGCCTCCGCCACTTCAACAGCAGGCACGATTTATTCAGCCAAGGCCGACTCTAAATCAGCCTCCCCCACCACTCATCCGCCCAGCTAATTCCATGCCTCCTCGTCTAAACCCAAGGCCGGTGTTAACCACGGTTAGCGGCCAGCAGCCGCCCTCGCTTATTGGAATTCAGACAGAATCTCAGTCCACTCTGCACTGAAGAAATAAAGCAGAATTATGCTAACTCCTACATTTGAAAAATTGTATCAATGTACTTTTTTTTTTTTTCCAAATAATGAAGGGGAGAAAAGAGCAAGCCTTCACAAGTATCAGACCAGTTTTACAGAGGAGCAAGCTAATAACTCGAAACGGAAACACGTGAATGACCACCTGTATAAAAATATTTTTATGTCAAAGACTTGTACAGCAGAACAATGCCTACAGTACAGCCCTCCTCTATATAAATTAACTGTTGAAGGAAGCTAACTTCTTAATTGAATAAATGTTCAACACACCAAGATTTTGTTTAACTGATTTTTACTCTATTTATTTTATTACAGTTCTTTGTAGTCAAGCATCTAACTACAGGAAAGTAGTTTGGCAAATCTAGGAATAGATAATATTGTAGGAGACTTAAATGTAGCATTGGGTTTTTTGTGTGTGTGTTTTTTATTTTTTACCTTTTAGTGGAAAAAAAAATGGCCTTAGGTTCAGAATTTTTGGCCCTGTTTAGATAACAGTAGAAGCATTTCACGCACTTGTAAAATGTAGGTGTTTCTTCTCTTCGTGTTTTTCCCAGAACAATATTTCTCGTTTGAAAAGATACCATCTTATTAAATACTCCCCTGAAAGAGTATTCTGAAGACTCAATGAGCTGTTGTACCAAACTTACTAAATCTCCGATGTGTTCTGCTCATAGAAATTAACTGAAAACAGGAGTCCAGTTTCCTGTGGCAGTATCTCTTGTGGGTTGGGTTGGAGAGACATAACAACTTCCACCACCCGGGGGATGACAGGAGAGGAACCATATAGCAAGAAACATTAATTTCATTTGTTATTCCACTAATTCTTCTAATTTAAATACAGTAGAGTTTCATTCCTCTGAGAATGGCTGTCTGCAGTTTGTGTATGTTACATCATTGATATGTTGCCTGAGAATTCATGAGGGAAGTGTAGAGGCTGATGGTGGTAGTAGAATATTGTGGCAGCAGAGTTGCTTGCTGCCAGCCCAGTCTTACTGTTAAATGATTATCTCTGATTTTTGCTATTTCTGGCAGAGTTGATTAGCTGGGTTGAGGTTTTTTGTTTGCTCTGATTTATTGACTAAGTAAAATCTGTATTTGGATGTTAATTATTGCTTCCAAATTTTAGGAGATTGAAAGGTTTTCTTTCTGCTGTATTCTTGTCTGAAAACTCGATTTATGCCCAGCAGTGTTTTGGGGGTAGTTTGGTTTTTTTTTTTTAGTTTCTTTTAAAAAAGTCTATGCCTCTACCCTCCAAGTAAACCAGGCTGCAAATTTGAGTAGCACTGTTTGTGTGATCTGAATCAAGCTACCAAAAAATACTGCATTCTTGACTATGTAATAACATTCGTGTTGACTGCCATATTATTTAAATTATTTTTGCTTATAGCTGAAATGGTGTTTGAAAATCCTTTAAAATCCATTCTGTTACTAACTAGATTTGCCCTTGACTAAAATGAAACTTTTTTGAAAATGGAATGTACTCTTGTTAGGCTTTTTCACAGATAAATTGGATGGACTAATGAACAGTTTAGCGGCTGACTAAGGTCTCTCTTAATGTGCAAAGGGAAGTTCTTACATCATCAGATCCTGTTTAATTTGTAAATCTAGTATTAAAGTCTGATAGTTGTGGCCTGAATTGCAGTCAAGGTGTTGACCTTTATGGTTTAGTTCTTCATTTAAAAATGTTTTCAGATCAAACTTGAGAAATTTTCATTTCCAAACAGCTTTCACTGGTGTGTTGAGGTCTCGTACAAAAGGTCCTTTTGCAGCCAAGTAGATGCTTAGCCACTACGTGAGCATCAGATGACCTCTCATCTAAGAAAAGCAGCATTAAAAAAAAAAAAAAAAAAAAAAAAAAAAAAGGCATCAGTGAATTTGTGGTCACTGAAACTTGTGTTCTGGGAGTCCTAAGTGTCCCCTCACCAGCTACACACAAATCTGGCTGCTCTCCAGACTTTAAAACTGATACAAAACTGATGTGGTACATTTGACATCCTAAGTATCTCAGTTTAATTGTCAACAGTGATAACATACATCTTTAGGATTTTTTTTTTACTTTTTTTTAGCATTGAGTCTCCCAGGTGTGTGTATTGTACCTTTGCTAATTTTTGTCTTGTCTCTTGTCGATAGACTTCAGTATGCAGAATGTTGGGTGTTGCAGTACAGTTGGCCACCACCAACTGCTATAAAACTGTTCAGTACATTGTAATTCCGTTTAATCTTGTTTAAATATTCTATAACTGGGCAAAGGTGCTGTATTTGAAGGGGGGAGGGAGGGTCAGAGATAGGTAGTATTTCTTAATTTACATACACTGTAGCACACAGTAGGGAACTCCTAGCATTTGTAGTACTAAATAAGTATGTACATAGCAAAATGTCTTTATTGTGTGCTTTGCAGAATATGTGCATACAGTTTGCACGTCCTGTTTTGGGGGGTAGGGTTTGTTTTAAGCAGTGTTTGCCTGGAGAGTGATATGCTTGCTGCTTAATCAAAGGATTAAAGTTTCAAAGAAATCTGTGTCTTCTATTTTTATGTACCTTGTAATGGTCTAATATGTTAGGGCCCTTATACTGTGATTCTCTTCTAAATTCATTTATATTTTTTTAAAAATTAGAAATAAAATTATACAATGGTGTTGATTTCAGTGGGGAATTTCTTTTGCCATATCTAGTCTCCTGTTTTGTAATGTAGTAATGAACTCTGACTTCAAGGTTGGCTTAATTTTGTCACTTTAAAAAATGTAAAATGTTTGCACACTAAAGTTTGGCAGAGAACGTGTATCCTACATTGTTCAAAGCTAATGTAACTACAGCTTTTTGTACAGTTTATTTTAGTTAATAAAGCAAAACGGTACTAAAAAAATGACAGATTTTCCAAATGCAAGGCATAATGTGAACAACATGTCTTCTAGGAACAACACTTGCAGAATACGGCTGTACAAGAACTATCGGATTTAATTGTTGCACTTTAAATCAGAATGGGTATGAAGTTAAACAGGTATTTCTGCATTAATAAAACAATCACTAAACATTGCACATCATAGTAAAGCAGTTTAATTTGTCTTACAGTTGATTGTGAGCAAAAGGAATTAGTTACATCTGTCCTTAGGTTTTTGTTCATTTTTATATTGTTGGGATTTTTCTTAAATCATAACAGTATTTATTCTGGAAACTACACAGTTCATGGAAAACAACACAAGCCAGTAGCTTATAGATGGGGGAGTTTGAGCAGAATTACAAGTTTGAGGAAGAGTTTAGGATGAAGATTACTAGAACTATGTTGTGCCTCTTGCTAGTAAAAGAAAGGAACGAAGTTATGGCTGATGCTAGGCAGAAATGTGGTTGTTGGGCAAAAGCAAAGCCAAACATCTTGAAACTGCTTAGAGGTGTGCTTCAAAATGCAAAGGAAGCTATAGAGGAGTTAGCAGCTGTCATAGCTCCAGTGCAAATGGGTGCACTGTAAATTGCGCTGAAGACAACTTGGTCATTTTAATAAAAGTGGTGAACCTCTAGCTTTTCCTGAGGTTGAAATAGCTAAACCTCAGAGTGCCTTTCTCTGAGCGAGTTTAAAGCAGGCACCATCATGATACACATCTGCTTTTAAGATCACAGGAAGTTGTATGTGAGACACAAAAGGCAAACAAACTTTAATGCCACGTAGTCTGTTACTGATGGATCAGGCATCAAAAATCTATAGTCGGGTAGGGGGGAAAGGCAAAATGTATGGGCAACAGTATCTGGACTATTTAATAAGTAACTGGCATATTTTTTCTAACAGACATCCTTAAAATTGATACTACAGTACAACCTTAGCAAAAAAAAAATAAAAAATACTGCTTCGTTTTCACCACTAGTGAAGGCTGCTACTTTGCAGTTGTGTCACTTAATCTTAAAGCTCTTTTTCAGAGCTGAAATAATTATAGCATCAAAATAAATCCTCATTGCTGTTACTGACATGAAAGTTTTCCCTTGGACTGGCATGAAAGGAAGCACTGACATTCAGGGATTGTGTTATCTGCTGCTGCTTCAGGGATATGACTTTTGTCTTAATGCAAACCAGGCCTCCTGTTACGCTCACTGAATCTTAAAAGTTGTGATTTTAAAAGTAATGCCTGCACCCTGGTATTTGATGATGCTTTTGACAGATCTTTGTCACCACAAGGCCGCGCTCTGGGCAATTACAATGTTCTGCAGTAGGAGGATCACACGTGCAGCAAATGTCTGCCTTAGGAACCCGATCCCATCTCCAAAGAAACTATTCGTTTACGTTTATAAATATTTACTTACAGAAACATGATGCCTGTTGTTCTGATGGATGTTCCTGTGAACTTCGCAGAAGAGTGGTAGACTAACCAGGATGTTCCTAAAAGATAAAAAAAAAAAAAAAAGTCCACAATTTTTGCAAGAGAGGGAGTGTTTTAAAAGGACTATGTTTTAGTAAAGGCCTCTGCACCTTTACTGGACTCCTGGAATTGGTGCAATATGGACTGACACCCTTGGGAGGGGCAAGTCTGAGTTATTTTAGCATCTTTCAGAATCTTTCTGAAACCACTCAATACTATTCTTTTAGAGCTTCTCTTAAAACAATCCAGATAACACAGCCCAGTTGTTTCTTTTTCTGATTGTTTATTTTTCGTCAGCTTTATGCTTTTGTATGGCATTTTCCTTAGAGACTGGTTTTCCTAGAAGTGGTTTAATGTGAAAGAACAAGGTGCAGCAGTAGATGGTGGGGAATGAGCAGTAGAGGCATTGCATCAGTACTGTTGGCTGGAGGGTGGCTGCGTTGCATTTGTGAAAAACCCTTTGGTGTGTTTTGAGTAACTGGCAAATAACACTGGCATGTGGCAACAGCTACTGTCTGTGTTCTTTGCGTCTTTAGCATGGGGTTTGTTTCGCTATTTCGTTACCGTAGATGTAAATAAAAAAGACTAACTATTTCAAGCAGGCAGAGATGCAGGCAGGGTGTATCACTAAAGGGAGGAGCGGGTAAAATCTGCTGATCCCGACCAAGACAGCGGTGCTGCTCGCCGTGGACTCTCAGTAGCCCATCCCGGAGAACTCACATCAGAGCCTGGGGAGGAGCCCCTGTCCGGGCTCTCTCCAACCCTGCGGAGCGTCGGGGGCGCTGCAGGAGCCGCGGGCTGAGCTCCCAGCCGGCGGGGGGCTGCCGGGGAGCCTTCCCACGCCGCGGGGGCCCGGAGCTACCGCCCGCCACCAAAGCTGAGCGGCGCGGCCCGTTCTGCGGGCGCAGGGGGAACCGCC